CATTGTGGAGCTGACCTTTTGCATGTATTTTCCTGACAAGTCAGAGAAGAGGATTTGAAACCTCTTCTGTCTGTCTGGAAGTCCAGGAGAGTAACTGGGCCTGTTCCAGGTGCCCCAGGCCCAAGCCAGACAACCCTGTCCCTCTCTTCCTGTCCTCCAGAATGGGGCTGATGCAGATGCTGGGTGAGCGGACCCCAGGTGAATCTCCTCACCTTGGGCTCCCTCCTGGCCAGGTGTGGTTCCTGATGGGTGTGACCTTCTCTGGAGCCCCAAATCCTGTGGCTTCTCTTAAAGTTCCCCCCTAATTAGAAGCCAGGTGAACTCACAGGAGTGATTTTATCTATCATGGGAAAGGGAACCCAAACTTCAGTCGCCTATGCCTGAGCCACCAACACCCCCACTCTTCCTTTAAAAAAGTTTTTAAAGACGCCACTGGTCAGTGGTGTGGTGGTTAAGGCACTGGCTTCCCACATGGCTGACCAGAGTTCAAGTCCCAGACTTGGCAGCTGATTTTCACACTCTCCCTCTTGTAAAACTGAATCATAAGAAAACGTAAAATTTAAGAACTAGTTCTAAAACTTTGAAAAGAAGTTCTTAACAATAATAATGATAAAGAACTGGGATACCATGGAGGAATAGGGAAGGGGCAGGTCTTGTAAGAATGAGAAGAGAAAGTGGACTTTTTATGGAAATGTTCATTGCAAGAATGTGCAAGAAAGCTTTGTTTTGCTCTCTGAGGTGAAAGAATCAATGTAGAGTCCTGAAATGAAACAGAATCTCCAGTGTCCTCATCGGTTGAGTAATACTTGGATCTGGAATCCTACAGTGATGTGACCCTAGGTTATCGGTCTCAGATCCGGATACGCTGAGTCTCTTGGGACGCACCTCGTGCGTCCAGGTGTCCAAATTCTCTCTGCCTCACCCTTGGTCCAGGTCTTGCCCCCTTCACCTCAACGCCCACTTGGTGACGCAGGCTCCCCCAACCCCAAAGTATTAATAAGAGCCGCAGCCCTGCGATGAGCCGGCAGATGCCCCAGCACTGAGGTGTGAAAACACTCAGTCGCACTCGCGTCTTGCCCTGCACACCCCGGCAACTTCGGTTCCAGGCCTGGGACCGGGAAAGCGGGTTGGGGCTGTCGGGAAAAGCTGGAGCTGATGGCGAGATTGCCTCAGCTATAAATCCATCACTTCCCAGGTCAGCTCCGCGAGGTGCCGGGACTGGGGCTGGCGGAGTGAATTCCTGGGCCAGCGCGCATGCGTCGGCAGGTAGTAACCCAGCTCTTTATGACCAGGTGAGATGTTGGAGAGCAGGTAAAAAGAAGAATTTGCCTAAGCGATTCCAAGGAGCGGGCCCGGCCGAGCCCTCCAGCCTCTGCCCGGCGGGGATCTGTCGCTAGGAGCGCCGGGCCGGGCTGGGAGGGCCAT